CAGCCTTGGCAACCCCTATACAGGGTCACTGTGAGTCGGGACTGATTCAATGGTACTTACAGCACTACCACCACCACCAATCCTGTTTAACACTGTACAGAGTTCTAGCCAATAGAATACAAAAAGCTCACTTAAAAAAGTGGAATGAAAAGGTCATGACATTTTTCATGAACTTTTTGAAGCCCCTTATAAGGCATAAACGAGATAAAAGCCATAAAGATTGGAAAGAAAAATTAAAACCTTTTATTCTCACATGACATGACTAGCCACAGAATTCTATTAAAAAAATAAAACGGCCTACTAGAACAAATGAATGAACTTTTGTAAGGTCACAGGTTACAAAATCAAAAGTATAAAAATTAATTGTATTTCTGTGTTTTAGTTTTCAGCAATTGGGAAATGAATTTTAAAATGATTCTGTTTACAACATTAAAAACAGAGATTTAACAAGGGCTTTTCCAGATGTCCTGGTGTGGTGCTGTAGGAGAAGCACTGTTGTTTTGAGCCACAAGGATAGCGGTTCAAACTCACCAACTGTTGATGAGGATTTCTTAGAGAAGACACAGAAAGCATAAGTCATAAAAGAAAATACACTGAACTTCATCAAAAGAAAACACTTTTGCTCACCAAAAGATACCATGTAAAGAAAATAAACAGGTTTAAGTCATAGACTGGGGATAATGTTAGCAATACATACACATGATACATACTGACAAAGGACTTATATCCTTATATAAATGAGTCATGCCATTCAATAACAAGAAAGTTGTTGTTGTTATGTGCCATCAACTCGGTTCCGATTTATAGTGGCCCTTTATAGGAATGGCTGATGAGTTTGAGGAGCGGTTGGTGAGTTTGAACCAGTGACCTTGTGGTTCAAACACACCTTGCGGTCCAGTGCTTTATCCTACAACGACACATAAGTAGTCTTACAAGAAAAATAGCCAGAGCCTCTTGAAAAGACACATAAGAAGCCAAAACACAAAAGATGAATTGCTAATAAGCACATGAAAAGGAGTAAACATTAGTCATCTTGCAAACTAAAAGCACAATGAAATAACACTTTACACCCACTAGAATGGCTAAAATTGAAAATAAAAAGACTGACAATATCAACATGTTAGTAAGGATAAGGAACAACGGAAAACTCGTAAATACTGGTTGTTTTAAGTTAAGTGCCGTCGAGTTGTCCAACTCATAGTAACCCTGTATAGGGTTTCCAAGAAGCAGCTGGTGAGCTTGAACCACCAATCTTGCAGTTCAAACGACTTTGCAGTCTGCCACATTAGCCCACAGCACCACACCAGGGTAGGAGGATAAAATTATAAATATACACCTTTAGAAAATGTTTTGGTAGTTCGGTGTAAAGTCCAACATCAACCAGCTGTAAACCCAGAAATTCTAATCCTACTTATTTCACAGGAGAAAACATACATCCACAAAGTATGTTTGTAGTAGTTATTAACAGTCTAAAAATAGTAAATCACCCAAATGTCCATAAACAGCCGAAATAATAAACATATTGTGGCATTTTCATACAATGTAATATTACTCAGCAATACAAAGGAACTACAAAGACATAACATGGATGAACATCACAAACATTTGGTGAGCCACAATGCCAATGGTATTCAAGGTCAGGCAAAATGAATGGAAGACACCAGAAGTTAGCAAGGCGGTTGGTTGTGGTGAGAAGGGGTAAATGAATAACTGGAAAGGGTACAGGGAACTTCCTGGCATGAGGAAAGATTCTTCGTCTGCTTAGGGGTGAAGCATAGATTTGTCAAAAATTATTGAATTGTAATAAAAAAATCTGCATACTTCATGGTTTATGAATTAAACCTTAATACAAATAATTTTACCTTTAAAAATTATGATGAAAAAATGTGGTTTATCAGAGGTTTATCAGAGATTAGAGACCTCTTACAAAAAGAGCTACTCACAGAGACATGTGATGACAACTCTATTTTTAATATCTGTCCTTGGAGTCAGTTACGCTTCAAAATAACATTTGAATTGTTTTTAAATTCACTAAATTTTCTGATGAAATGTTTTTCATGAATTTTTTTGTCTTAAATTTCATACTTAGTAAGAAACAAACACAGTATCTCCATAGGGTAAGCACTGGGCTGCGAACCACAAGGTCAGAGGTTGGAGCTCACCAGCTGCTCCTCAGGAAAAGACGAGGCTTTCTGCTCCCTCAAAGATTTACAGCCTCAGAAGCCCTATACATGGTGGTCAGGATGAGCGTGAACTGACTTATCGGCACTTACCAACAAGATGATTATTCATGTTCTATTAGTTGTACATTAAAGGTTATAGATAGAAATTAACCTAAATATAGTCCAAACCCTAGTCCTTTTTTAATATGAAATAAAACAGATGCCTAAATTGATTTTTTTCCAGAACCATATTTGTATCTCATTTCAGAAATAGAAATATATAAATCGTACACTGTCATCCTTTTCAACTATTAACACTTGGGCAGAGACAATCAATAGCTTACCTGTTTTAATTTTGTTGTTAGGTGCCATCGAGTCAGTTCCAACTCACAGCGGCACATCTTCACAATATTGTGATATTTGAGCCCATTGTTCCAGCCCATATCTTTTTTTTGTTTGTTTTTAAACACAAATGTAAATTAAAACAATTATGTGTGTTCTAGCTGGCAACAGAAGACACTGTAAGGAAAAATGTTTAGGTGTCATTAGGTTGGAATATTTTATATACAAATACATATTATATCAGTTACATTTAAAAGTAAGAAGATAACCTATATGGAGTAAGTCACTTCCAGATTCCCAAGCTCCCTTGGCTGTCTTTTCATGAATGAACACCATTTCCGGATGAAGTGTGTCCTTCTTTACACAGCTGATGCATTTCTCTCCGTCCTGTTTTCAGGGGCTGTGCTGACGATCCATAAATCCTAATAATCATAGAACATCTAGATTTTTAAAAATCTCAGTCAGTGAAAGGTCTAACGATATTCCTGTCCTACAAGTAAAATTTAACTTAACCAAGTTTGGCAGCGCTGGTTGTCATGAGCAAAGAGAAGCTTAACATGCTTAAAATGATGGAGAAACTATTATGTATATAGCAAAGTGTTTATTTGATAAATATAATTTCATAAACTTTAAAAAATTACCAAGACCTGTACAGTAAGTATACTACATTTACTGGCAACGCGGAGGATTTTTCCAAGGATTACATTAGATAGCCACAGTGAGGTCCAGAAATTTAATACTAAGTATTGCTACAATATTTTCAGCTCATTCCTCATACAAATCTAATAATCACCATTATTACAAACACATCATTAGTTATGAGATTACTTTGTAGAAATATCACTCATTATCTCACATAAAACAAGTTTGATGTTTCATTTTTATGAAAATAAAAGACTTGTTTCAATATAGAAATAAAAATATCTATAAAGGAGGACCAAAATGAATAAAACATGTTTTCTATGACTCTTTGGTGTACTAGTTTTATCGATGCTTGCTTATATCATGCCCTTAATTGGCATCTACAGGAAATACACAAACATGGGACAGTTTTCCTTTGCCGTCAATGCCAAGAGTACAACTATTAATTGTAAATTGTTTAGTGGCCTTGACTTCTGTCTCTCAGTAAGAGTCTTAAGCTTATCATACCAAGTCTAATTTTACAGTCTTACATAGCAGAAATGATCCTAGCCCTGGTATTAATAATAGGGCTGAGGGTAGTTATCTTCTCACATGGCAATTTGCCTCTGTTTAAGGCTCTTTAGTCTGCATCAGGGGTCAGGGCCTAGAATGAGGTCTGGGAAGCCTTTGTACACAGTGGAGATCAAGGAGAAGGACAATTACAGAAACTCAGACAGAAAATTCTTCCCTTTTTTCTTCTCAACCCCAAAGCCAGGCTGGGTAGCTGCCATTCTCCCTGGCCCACATTCAGCCAACTCCCGGGTGAGTTTGCTGAGCTGTGGCAGGTGCTTGTCATTATCTGTAGGGCTACAGCCTTTAAGCTGGGCCAAGGCCTAGCAATAACACATTTAACACCTTACTTTGGTTTTAGCAGATAAGAGTAGGTTAATTTTCAACATCGTACTTTCCAAGGAAGTTTAAAGTAATATGCAAAGGGAAAACTTTTCTGTGATTGCTGGTTAAGTAGTAAAAGTTTGATAAATATGAACATTAGCTCTAAAAAACTACTCAAGAAACTTCTAAACCAGGGAACTCTTGCTTTACAAATACAGGGTAATCATCCTTTCGATGGAGTAGGTTTTGAATTACAGCAGGATGATCATATCGATACCATTTACATTTATTTTTTGATACAAGGTTCTTCTGAACTAACATCAAACGGTGAATGCAAGAATTACAAACCGCATGGTAAGCGCCATGCAGACTCGCTGCCCTCCTGCCATGCCTACTGAGTGCTGCACTTACAAACAAAATGCCATAGTAGCATTTTGGCCAGAGACTGCTTGATGGCTTTGGAGTCCTTTCTCTAGTGTCAGCAGCCAGTTTATTTGGGGGCAAACACGGTAAAGTCGATGTAATGCAGTTCTACTGATTGTCATTTTGCTTTACGTACATTTGATGAGATAGTCTAGGAAAAGGCCCTCCACTAAAGCACTCCAGAATTTCTGTAAAACTTCCTCTTCGGGAACACGAATTAGTGAGTGCACACATTGTGGACTATGTATTATTCCTTTAGTTTATTTCAAACACTATCTTCCTGAACTCATCATTAGGGAAATCTGAATTAACAACAAAAAAAGACGACTTATAAAAATTAATATTTAGGGTAACATGACATTCTTGCATCATTGAAACAAACAAAATAGCATATTAGCAAGAAAATAGTTAAGAGTTATGTCTACCATTCTCTCCGTAGCAGCCTATCCCAGAACACTACTATTTATGAAGTAGGAAATGGAAGAGCTCTACTGTAATCATTCCACTTATAAAAATTAATATTTAGGGTAACATGACATTCTTGCATCATTGAAACAAAATAGCATATTAGCAAGAAAATAGTTAAGAGTTATGTCTACCATTCTCTCTGTAGCAGCCTATCCCAGAACACTACTATTTATGAAGTAGGAAATGGAAGAGCTCTACTGTAATCATTCCACTAACAGAAACTCTCAACTGAGAATTCTGGCAACAATTCATGTAACCGTTTTCACTCAATTTTATATGTAATCATTATATGTACGTATGCTAAGAGATGGGCACTCGTTCTTAAACCAATGTTCATTGTCAAATTTTAAACCAACTTTTTGTCAAAACAAATGACAATGCTGAATTTACATGATCAATTCAGGATAGAAACGAACTTGAAGTACAATGAGTTAATTATAGTCACATGTACCTGATTAAGCATTCTTGGCATTTTCATTTATTGAGGCAATTACCCCATAAAAACTTAGCATTGTTTCATTTACATTGTATAGCCATACCTGAAAATATACTTTGTAATGGGACACTGGGTATATTTCACTTTACTGTGGTAGCCCACTGTAACTCAGATAAGACAATGACTTAAAAGGATTTTATTCTGAAATCCCTTATTCTAAAGTGAAAGGCAGTGGAATTCTAAATTTGCCACAGAAAGAGGCTCAGCTCTTTTTAGTGATTTAATTACCCAATAGTATCTTGATTTATATAATTAAAAATATTTGCAATATTTAAATACTGTCCAAACTTGTTTTTATTGATATATTTGAACTTTACAACATTGTCATAAAGTATCATAAACAGAGCCTTCAGGATAAATAAAGAGGAGGAGGGGGAAGCAAATTTAAATATATTAACCAGATTAAAGCATGCAAAAAAATCCAATCATGAACACATTAAATTAATATGCTAATGTGCCAAATTTACCCATTATAGGTTCTTCATATTCTGCCACAAAAATATTCTTATTAAATATCAATTTGAAATTTGGTGAATGCACTTGATTCCTGATTTATGTGTAAGATAGTATACATCCTTGGCCTTTATTTGGTTCCCTTTACTGGTTGTGTTACAGTGCAGCCAGAGAAGTCTGGAATTGTATTTCTTTTCTCCCTGTACTGCAGGAAGTAGTGGATGGAACTGCATTCTCCTATGTTGCTCTGGGATCTTAGAAAGCATTAATGAATTAACAACATGGGTCACAGAGGGACCAAAATTTCTCAATATTCACATAAACTTTTCCCATGAACAGTTTCAAATATAACTCTAATAAAAAAATAGAGTTTTCAAGGCAAACTTTTCAGCACAATTTACAGAAGCAGATTTCAATAGAAGAGTCAATAACCAAGCTAATACTAAAACATACACATAGGTAGGAGGAGTTTGCTATCGCCCTTTTCTACATTGATATCAAAAATGCAGTGGCCTCAGCCACAGGATGAAATGCCCTTTGGAGTCCCCAAAGCACAAGAGACAATCCAGACAGATGAAAAATCTCTCCTTATTGATAAATTTAAACATGCTTAGATTCAGATTTGGGGCAGTCCCAGGGGTATCATGTTAATACTTTCTGTTTGTCTGCCATTGCAACTGACTGGGTCTGAGCAATTCCAGAACTTTCAGGAAGAAATTTTACAGAGCTAGTGTGGCCATTGAAAGGATAATCACACTGAATTTTAGGAAAGGACCTGGAATGGCTCTCACAAAGTGCTACTGCCCCTTTAACAAGTAGATGAGTCCATTGTGGAGAGAGTCAAGATGCTCCTGTCGTTGGTATAGAAAGGATCCGATGCACTCCATGATCTAAAGTAACAATAAGAGAAAAGTTTGGCTCACCAGGACCTATGTTTTACTTCAGAAAAATTCACTTTAAAACTTAGGACCCAAGTGTAACTTGAATTTTTAAATAATCACTGAGTGATTCATTTTATATGCTAATGTCAGATCTTCATGCTAGCATCTAATGACCATTCTATTTATTCTATACAAAAAGTTGGGAAAAATAATACTCTAGTCTTTATATAAAAATATTAGCCAAAATTCAGATATTCACCAAAATTCAGATATTCATTAGCATTAAAACAGTTTCTACAGGTAGTTAAGCAGGAGGTGCTCCTAAAATGTTACAATTCAATAAGAAATAGGTAATGAAGAGCTTTGTACATTCAGTTACACTGAAAAGCAACGAGGCTGTATTTTGACATTACAGAAACAAATAAAACAATCCCACTTACCAAAAGCTTTGGAATGAAAGTAATAATACGTTCATATTATTGGTCAGTTCTTTACAATATGAACTCTAGAGATTTTAGAATCAGCTTGAATGTAGTAAACGGTTTCTTTGATAGGTACCAAAAGACACCTCTAGGTTACTAGGGTTTCAACAAATGAGCCTCTACTGGTCTGGAAAAGTCAACTACTATGACAAGGTCCATAAGGAATCATTACATAAAAATTTATTTGTAGCTGTATTAATTCAAGCTAAAAACCTCCAAGATGAAAAAATAGCCTGCCATGCTGAAACGAGAGGAACCAATGTCAAGGACAATTAGGATCCCTCAGGCAAAGGTGGCTTTTCTTATAAGACTAAAAGTTACATTCTATGTAACTTTGGCCGGGGTCCTTAACTTTCCCTAATCAAAGATGTCAGAGGAAGGGACTATGCTGAAGACAGCTCCAATTCCAATTCGCCTTTGTCAGATAAAGGTAGCAGTTTCCTAAAGACCCTATCCTTCCAATTTAAACCAGCCATTAAGTGAGCACAGGCATAATGAAGTTCGGATTCTAGAAATTTTATAACGTTGGCAAACATAGCAATTCCATTCTATCAATGATTCACCAGGTCTCTAATTTTACTAGTTTCCAGGAAAGCTTGGACATTATCTCTGGCTCACCACTGTCTCTGTAGCACCTAGTACATCACAGAGCCTGGTACATTACAGGCACACAATATGTGCAAAATAAATAATATGAAAGTTTCTTCAAGAGTAAGTCTTCACTGGGGACAAAGTACACTCAGATACACACAACATGTAATTATGTATTCAATTTTCTGGGATCCAGTTTCCACGCCCAAAGTGCCAGTATTTTATATCACTTTTCCCCCTACTTTCCCAATCTTTGAAACAGAAGAATCTCATTAGGTAAAGAGTTCCCTTCATTTTAAATCTTTTCAAAGTCCACATGTGCACTTGTGTTAAATATCATACTTGACAGAACACTAAACACCTGAACTACAGATGAATTATTAACCCATTTTTATTTTAAAGATAGTTTTGATTAGGATAAAGTTACTCTTGGTAAAATGCACATATAAATTAATTTTCTGCTAAAAAGTATGTAACGACAGGTCATGACATCTCTATAGCACCAGGATGCTAGCTTTGCAGTATGGCGTATTCCTTTGAGAACATCAAATAATAGAAAGAATTTTTGTGCCTAGCTGATAAAAGTCTAAAAAGCAGAGAGATCTGTGGTAAGTGTACTAGTTGTCTTTCTCAAATGATGCCCATTATGCCTCATGTTTAATGAGGTAATGGAACAAATATACAAGGATTCCTACATCTTATATTGGAGATCTCAGCCTTGCCTTCTCTTTTAAGTTACACATAAGGTAGAAATGTAATATTGAGGCTGCCAAATACATTTTACCAATACAATTGTACATAAAAAACAAAACTCTAAATATCAAAATGATTTTAAAAGTTTAAGTATCGTGCTAATGGATCTATGGCATTTTTCATATAGCCCTTGGAAAGCACCACATAGTTCTGCATGTTGTTTTGATTTTATCCACTAGGAAAAAAGTCAACAGATCTCAAAAATTTTTTTTCAGATAATAATTCAAGAGAGAAAAAAAGGGAGACAACGGTAAGCAGCAATAGAATCTGAGATGCTGAACAAAACTAGAAAGGTATTTACAGTCTGTCAAATATGATATCAGTAACCAACTTGAACATTTTATTAGCAGGAAAAACTCCATAAAAGAAAAGAACATGGCACAATTTTAAGCAAAAAGAAGTATAGATGGTAACAGTTACCTTCAAGAGACCAGGCCTAAATAAATGCAATAAACCTTGGGTCAGGTTCCAAATAGCTAATACAGCACAGAAACAGCAATGTAGAGACTAGTGGGGGCATACATAAGTCCTGGGTGGCACTGTAGGCTAAGCACTGGATTGGTATCCTCAACGTAGGAAGTTCCAACCCACCAGTCACTCTTGGAAACCTTATACAGGGTCACTATGAGATGGTACTTAACAACAACAACATTACTTAAATAACTGATGATATGTATAAAGAAAAAATCTGGCTCATTCATACTTAATTCTAGCTTTTCTTTTGTAACATGCATAGTGTCATTAAAGATAACTTTCTATTGAAGTAGAAATTTAAAAGAATTCTGTAGAACCTCCAGAATAGTGTCCTACTCTAACTCCTGCCTTAACTCTGTGTAGAATAAGCTATGTTAAGAGGTAAAATAATATAATAATATAAAATAAATCCTTCTGAAACTTCCTTTGGGAAACTCTTTGGCTTGTAAACACGACAGAGCTACTTTGTTGTAATGCATCTTATAATACAATTGTATAAGTCAGAACAAAGTTCCAATAAATTTAACTGCTCACAGTAATCCTAGTTATGTGGAATGAAATTACTACAAAATGATACTGCAGAATTAGGGAAATGGTTTGACTACATGTCATAATCATATCAGAATGAATGGGAATAGAACCATAGACGTTATATAGACAAAGGCATGGTATTTATAAGTGCAACTGTACAATACAAATTTGGCCACAGCTGAAGTTCAAGTGAGAAATGACAAGCTTGTCAGTGAAAGTTATCTGGATTTTCTGATACATGAATGCTCTATCATACTCATCATATTTCAAAACACCAAAGTAGCCCAATTAACAATTCTTTTCTCGTTAGGTAAGAGTAGTCCCTCCTCCATCTTTATTCCCTGCTCCTACAGCATTTACCAACCTTTTCTCAGCCATTTCACATAGAAAATGGGAACATTCATGTAGCACACTGGAACAATGGGAATCAGCATCTAGCCTGCCTTCAGTAGCCCACTCACATACCCCAGAGCACTGCTGCCAGAGATTTGGGGAATATAGTATCATTTACATAAAGAACATCACAGTGTAGAAAAAAGTTATTTCTGTCTCCAAATATCTCCTAGATGGGGATATGTATAAAGAAATGAATCCACTGCAGGTGGAAAGAAATTTTACAATACAAAAATGATTACTTTTGCTCTGATCGAAGTACATTTGGAAGGGAGTGAAAATATAAAGATTCTTTTAAATCCAGAATTTAAAGAGCCTGTTAGAAGTTTTAAACTTTTATGCTGACTATTTACAGCCTCGGAAACCCTGTACAGGGTCGCTATGAGTCGGTTCCGACTTCACGGCACATAACAACAACAACAACAACCTAATTACCAAGAGAAAGAAACTTAAAAATCACTATTCATCTCAAATACTTCATTATAGAGATGAAGAAGAGGCTTGTTGTGCAGTGCTGTTGAGTCAGTTCTGACTCATAGCGACCCTGTATAGGGTTTCCAAGGAGCAGCTGGTGAATTTGAACCACAAACCTTGTGGTTCAAATAGACCTTATAGTCCAGTGCATGATCCTGCAGTGCCACCAGAACTCCAAAGAAGGGGTGGGAGGGGGTCAAAATACATCTGCCTCAGATGACTGACTGGAGGATCTAGATGAAAAATAAGAAAAGAAAAGCTTTCTAATATCATTAGTATGTGTAGATTATTTTGAAAAGACAAAAATCAAACAACAAAAACAAAACTAGAAAATTCCTGCTAGAAAGAAAGCAGTAGTATAGGTATAATCAAAAAAGAGTTCTACAAAACAAGAAAGCATACCACATACACACTCCTAGTCATCACATTGTTGAAAGACTGGAAAGCCAACTGTGTTCATTAGATGGAAAAGTCTCTTCCAAGGTGCTTTCTCTTCCTTTTAGAGTGAAAGAGCCCCCTAGCCCAAAGCCACAAAGTGAACTCTACCATCACCAGGTGCTAAGTAGTACACATCCTGCTTCAGTTGGTAAAACCAGCTGCTGGTTTGTTAGGAATCTGGAGTTGCAGGTTCATCCTGTTCCAGAAGATTAGGATACTCATCTGCAGCAAAGGCTACTTAGAGAAATTTCACACCTGCTGATGTGGGCTGGACTACATCTTCCTATGACTCGGTCCAGCATTCTTCCAACAGATGCGCACGCTGTTTCTCCTGAGAAACAGCACATGGAGTCCAAGCACTTGATACCTGAATTTGTTTCAGTAAGCTGCAGGAGATGAAGCAGAAAAATTAGTATTTATAGATATGGACCACCAAAAAGTATTTAAAAACATGTATATAACCAAAGGTAATGTATATGACTATACAGATACATGATGGTTTCTATAGTATGGAAATTTATGGAAGGCTTTAATTTCATAGAGCAATCACAAAAAAATACTTGAAATGTACTGTATCCTAAACTGCAGGTTTAGTAAAATAACTAAAAAATAAGTAGCTGGATATTATCTCAATCTGCAAAGATTAGAATTTTAATTATCATATTTTGATATATTTACTATGGTCAGAAATGCTTTTTTACATCAGTTATTTAGAATCTTAACAAGCTCTGATTTTTCCTTACGTTTTTGTTTAAGTGAAATGCTCATTCGATTTCCATAAAAAATGTCTAGCAGTTTTTATAGAGTTTTTAGTAGAGTGGAAACGATTTTGAAGAGTAGGAAATAACAACCAAGCAGGACCTAACCCGTCTTCAAAACTGAGAAAAAAAGCAACAACAACTGCAATGACAATAGTAGCAAACACTCACATAGTGTTCACTACATGCCAGACTCTAAGGTCTCTCTCTGCATCTGCCCACTCCATAATTACTTTTGAAAGAAATATCATTTAGTTTAAATTGTTAAACCACTATTAAGTGCCAACCATGCCATAATCAGCTTTTCTTTTAAAAAAATTAGCTGATGGTATATGGTTTAAAATTTATTAAACATGCAAATTAGTACTTGTAAGATTTAAGATGGAATTACTTTCTAAAATACACAAATTTTAAATCAATTTATAATCTAATTCCATACTACTGATATGAATCATGTTAAAATGGGGTGTGTGTGATGGTATGACCACACAGCTCAGTAAATCCCAACCCTGGTTTTGCTACAGTTAAGGGTGCTTCTGAATTTCTGAAGGGTTGTTATTTTAAACAAGCTTATTTTAATTCTTTCCTTTGTATATGCAACATACTTTATAACAAACTTTCCAAAGTAAAGAGGAAGACAAACATTAATCAATCCATTAACATGTTGCAATTTCACGAAGGTTGGGAATCACCACAAGTAAACTGTAAGTATGGCCACAGAGGGCATTTGTGGAGATGTTCACGATGGACAGAAGAGTCAGACTTGGTGGCATATGTTAATACCCTGGCATGTGAACCTCAGCTACTGGTGAGGTGCTGCAAATGTCCATGTGCAGAGTGACCCTGCTGAACACCCAACCATCTGAGAGCACATGTTTGGCAACTGTCTGATGGCACCAATGGTTCCAGGATTTGCTAAGCACTGAGAAATAGCCACACTTGCTCTGTCATTACAACACCCTTGGTTTGGAGCTGTTAGGGCACTGTAGTTTACAGACAGTTCATGAAAAAAAAGGTTCTTTGCCCATTTAACTTTGGGAAAAAGACTTCTGAGTATGGGATGGTGGAGAAGTCAGGATGCATGGTCAGTCTCAGTGTGTGGGGAAGAGAGCAAGAGATATCAGAAACACTAGAAGGAACATAATATTCAGAGGAATAGTTTGAGCAATGTTGCAAGGTTTCTTTCACCTGCCTGTCTCCCAGTTTCCTCTTTGAGTCCCTTGGCTTCAGTACCTCCCAATCTCAAAATCACTTACTGGAGGACGCAGGGCTCTACAGTTCTCACACAGTCACAGGATAAAGCTCAACTCCTTAATACCTTTGAGACTCTTTACAATCTGACCTCAGGCTGCCCTTTCTCTCTACTTATCAATGCAGTCTCCTGGCCAATTGGTAGTATTCCCTGCCTTTGGGTCACATGGCAAGAAGCAACACCAATTTGGGTCAGAATGCTGGAGTCCAGGTGTGTGGGATTGTGGGTTGGTTAATGTGCTGGACTGCAAAGCCGGTTTGAACTACAAGGCCAGTGGTTCAAGCTCGGAAACCATATACAGGGTTGCTATAAGTCAGAACCGACTCAATAGCACTAACACCACCACAACCACCACAAAGGTACAGCTTAAGCCCCAAATCTCAATAGAACTTTCCTCACTTTTATAACTATGAATGATGTCTTTCTCTTTGGATTCTATTTCACTGCTTGTTTATATCATTTAAATGATACAAACAATTAAACTTAACTTATATTTATTCAGCAAAGAACTCTATTGGTTCCTATGAGAGAGAGCAATGTTGCTCTCAATCAAGTCAGCTAAGGGTAAAGAAAAGGTACAAATAATAATAGCAGTTATATTTATAGAGTGTTTAACTATACGTGTCAGCTGTTCCTCATGAAGAAGGATGATCTCATGTTTACCTATTTACAACTTTAAGCAGCCTTTTAAAATAAGCAGCAAAATCAGCCCCATTTTACAGAAAGAAAACAGGTCAAGAATTTGTTCAAGGTTGCCCAGCTGGGGCTTGAGCATTGGTGTCTTTCATTCCCAAAGCTCTTTACCTCGCCACTATACTGCCTCCGTATCATTATGATCTGAGGCTGACAACAAATATCATCAGAAAAGAGGAGGGAAACCTCAAAGCCAGCTGCTATTGATATTAGAGTTGATGAAAAACATGGCATTTGAGGATGAGTGGGATTTCAAAAGCTGGAGCTGGAGAAGAAGAGGCCCCCGTGAAGGGGAGAAGAGAATGAGTACACGTGTGTGAGGAGCGGAGCGGCTCAGTGTGCAGTCAGTACAAGCTCAGCCTCCGTAGAAGGGGAAGAAGGTACTACAGGCCCTTTGCAGAAAAGACCAGCGTGACTCAAGGTACGAGCCATGGGTTAAGTGCTGGTCTGCAAACAACAGTTACTGATTTAGGAGAAGATAAGTATTTCTGGTCTGTAAGGGAAAGAGTTTAGAAATGTTCATGACAATTTGACAGAATACCTTTATAATTGAGTGAGATATAGTACTAATTTAAAATGTGGGGTTCATTTTGTATGTTGTTGAAATTTCATTTTTCAAGTAATGATATTTCTGTAAGTATTGGTCTGTGATGGATTGGAAATTAGAAACAAAACAAGAAAATAACAAACTGGTCCTGTATCTCCCTTAGTTTTTAAACCATACAATTGGTCCAGAAACTCAAAAGAGCACGGATCTTGTCTGGTACGTCTTAGTTTAACAATATGTGCTTTACCCACAGGTAGTACTCAGCCATTTGACAGTTCAGTGAAGATGACATCTGAAGACCACAGCCTTCAAGTGTCCAAATGTGCTCAGAACACTGCAGGTGTCTAAATCTGACCTCAGGTAATTAATCTTCCTTTGCATTCATCCCCTTTCACTTTAAAATGTAAGGATAGGTATTAAAATACGGATAACCCATAGACGGTAAATAACTAGAAAACTGTCCAAAATATTATAAAGAAATAACCTCTTCAGACCACCTTGTAAACTAAATAAATTCCTTCCTTTTCCCCTAAAGAGAAAAATCTCGAGCTGCTTTGTAAATGCTGGTTACCTGTGACTTTGGAAAGCTATCTATAGAAAATGCTATTCTGTTTGCTAGCTCCCCCACAAGCAGCTTTACCAGTTCCCATGCATACACACATCTTTGATCGCCCATTCTGACCTGGGTCTCGGGCTGAGTGCATTTAGACCTCAATTGTGTTTAAAAGAAGCACAGGATCATTACTATCAACCAAACACAACTTCTTAAAGATAACTTGAAGGGAGACTTGGTGGCACAGTGGCTAAAGACTCACTGCTAACCAAAAGGTCAGTGGTTCTAACCCCCAATGGTTCCATGGGACAAAAGACCCCTAGCGATCTGCTGCTGTGGATTTCAACCCTATGGGGCAGTTCTGTGCTGTCCTATAGGGTTACTGTGAGTCAGAATTGACTCCATGGCAATGAGTTTACAAATGATAAAGAAAACAAAGTATTGGAATGAGACCCTACCTGGTAGCAACATAACTTTATTTATCAAAGGTTTAATGAATGGGTACGTTTCCTCACTCTCCACCACTCTTGTCTCCCAGGAAAAAGCAATGATTTTAAAGCTATAAGCAGAACATCTATATATACTTAACATAACCATGGACAGGTGAGAAAAAGTTCACGTTTATGGAATTTGCTTCTTGAAATAAATTCTGGCTCACTGTTCTTATTGTGATTATCTTCATATACAATGGCAGTAAATATTTACAAGTTTCTCCTCTTGCATTTACAAAACAGCTTCTTTATGAAAATTGTCTAACATTTCTGACATTTTTTCAGTCACTTCTAGAGCATCTTAGGGGAGTCCTGGTGTGGCACTGTGGTTAGTTAATGAGCTGGACTGCAAGGTCAGTTTGAACCACAAGCCACTCCTTGAAACCCTATACAGGGTCGCTATGATGGGAACCAACTCTATGGCACCTAACAATAATAACACAGTACTTTATCCTATCAAGTCAAGTTCTTGAGTTTAGATATGAATTTTCAAACTTTTGCCAACAAAACTGTTTTATTTATTGGATAATCAAGCTGAGCACTTTGTGTAGCCTTCTAAGTACAAGGAAAGAAGCTTATTTATGGGGGCTATGGGGAGTCCGGGAGAGGAGAGGTTTGTGTTTAAGAAAGTGTTGTTCTTTTCCTAAAGTAAAACCAAAAGCCACCAAAAAGTACTGATTTCCAAGTATGATAAGAGTAATAAAATCCCTAAAACAAGTCATAGCTTCCTCTCATTATTCAGAATTGCAATGAGACAGCAGTTTATGTTGCATTTGAAGAACTGCTGTATCTCAAGCTCGTATTCATTGCTCTAGCTTTCCTTCCCCCTTACCTTCTCATACCCTAGTCAATGAGACAGCAACTTTAAAAAGATAGTTATAAATAGAAATAGAATACTTCTCTACTGTCTTTTCTATTTTTGTATGGGATGACAAAATTAACTATGACAATGGGCATACAATAAGAATCCTATTTGTTAGGCAAGCTCATTGTTATTATTTGATTTATTCCTTGTTTTAAAAAGACCGAGGGCCTCTATTTTAATGATGTGTTTTATTAATGATTCAATTTGTGACATAAATAACAAATTAA